CTGGCCTCGGGGCTTGTCTGCCTCTGGTAGCAATCTGACGTTTAGGGTCTTTTTTGGGGGGTTGGGGTTTTTTTGGTTGGTTGGTTTTTTTGTTTGTTTGTTTTTTTTTTAAATTAGCTGCTTGCTATCAGATGAAATGCACTCTCTTTTAGAAAAACCGCTGCGGCAGCTTTCACGTTCTGGTCACTGTGCCGTTACAGGGTACACGCACGCTGTCTTTCACAGGCAGGTGAGTAGTGGAAGAGAAAGTCGTGTTTGTATCCCATCTGTAGCGAGCCAGCTCATGTTTTTTTCACTGTTTGCCGTTTGCAAAGAACATCTAAAAATTGTTTTTCTACTTACTTTGCTATTTTGGAACATTGAAAGGCCCTGAAAAGGACTTTAGCGCTTTTCCTTGAGTGCTTTTTGTCTTCAAATTTTAAAATACAACCTCAATCAAATTTCTGAACTTTTTTTTTTTTAGCACATGTAATGTTGATTCATAAAACTGCAAATCACCAGCAGAGATGGTGCAGGAATACTTCACTCTGGAAAGAGATTTTGTATTACTGGTCGCTCAAATGAAGGAGAACTGGGAGGTGGGGGTGAGGGGGAGACAACTGGAGTTTGTTCTTTCTGCTGTGGCTTCGCTCCTGTTGATTCTTGCGCTGTTTCCCTTTGCCTCGGTCGTCTTCTCTTGGGCTGCTTGGGATTGCAGGCTCATGTGTAAATGAGAAAGAATAAATTGTGTCCCTTACAGGATAAAATAAAAACCCTGATTCCAACCTGTCTGTGCTCTTACACATCCTAAAGCAGCACAACAGGGCACAAGCCCCAGTGTTTTTTGCTTTTCAGATCTGCTTTAAGAGCAGAGGCAGCCGTGGCCTAGCAGTTGTGGAGGCAGAGGCAAGTAAATGTTTTGCCACTTGTAAACATCCCAACAAGTTTTTGGAAATCGCCTGCGGTTTGAGGAGACCCTGGCTGAACAGCATCTCGCCCCCACCCCCTTCCCGAAGCGGGGAATGTGCCTTGTGTGCTTGGGGTGAGGACAAATACATTTAAGCTTTTGTTGGTTAGTGACAGGCTTTCACATCAGTTACACACTGCTGCAATACCGAATTGGTGTAAAAATATACAAGTTCAATATTAGGGAGGCGTTTGTGTTAATAGTTCTTGAAGTGTTTTCTCTTGAGCCTGTCTTCAAGATGTGAATTGTGCCGAGCGGGTGGTCGTGGGGCTGCCCCGGCTGCCGGTGCCCAGCTCGGCTCTGCAGCACCGCGCCGAGGGCGGTCCAGCCGCCGCGGGGGTGCTGGTGTGGACCTCTAGCTGCTGCCTGGCCACGTTCCTCAGAGCTTACGTTGGGTTCCTCCTGACGGTACCACTGGTGTTCTCCAGCGAGTGTTTCTGCTCGTTGCTGGTGGCTGTGCTGGAGGCGCAGGAGGGATCTCAGATGGTAGAGGCAGGGGCCCCAGCGCGTTTTGTAGACACAAAATATGGAACATAGAGGCTTGAAGCGTGTATTCTCCACCACTGGTGAGCTTTTTGCTGTGTTTAATTCTCTCACGTAAAGATGCCGATGTTTGAAGCGGACCAGAATTGCTTGCCCGTGAATGACACCGGGTGGGTGCTGGCTGGGAACTGGGCAGCAAGGCTGTGAAGTGATACGTGCCAGCGCGTTTTGTAGACACAAAATATGGAACATAGAGGCTTGAAGCGTGTATTCTCCACCACTGGTGAGCTTTTTGCTGTGTTTAATTCTCTCACGTAAAGATGCCGATGTTTGAAGCGGACCAGAATTGCTTGCCCGTGAATGACACCGGGTGGGTGCTGGCTGGGAACTGGGCAGCAAGGCTGTGAAGTGATACGTGTGGGTTATGGTTCTCTGAAGGATCAGAGCTGGCTTTTTGGGAAGGGCGGCAATTTTTCAGTGTTTCTGGTGTCTGTTTGCTCTTTGAAAGTGGTGAAGTTCATTTGTGACACATCTGGATGAATTCTTAGGCCATAATACAATGCAAAGATTAAAATGTAATAGTGAATACTTAAAGATGGTTTAATTTTGTTGGCCACCTACAGTTGTCACAAGGAGAAGATTAATGACAGGTAGCGTGCTGCCGCTGTCAATTCTTACCACGTTCCTTTGGATGCTTCGTAAGGAACCTTCTTCAAACCTATTCAGTTAGGAAGTGAGTTGTTTTATTGGTCCGTCCTCTTCCTCACCATCAGTGAGAAGAGACAGTTTGCATCGTTCCATAGCAATACAGGGTTACAAGTATTTGGGACAGTTTTGCTCAACTTCTCTTCTGGGAGATGGGGTGAAAGGTGCTGTTCCGTGTTAGGGGTTGCCGTGGGGACAGGAGGGCGGCGAGGTTTGGTGAGCTGCTCTGGGGGGATGCTCAGTGCGATAACAAGCGTTGCTGGGTGATGCGCTGCGTTGGCCCGGGTGAACGCGTGTGCGTTGGAGAGGGGAGCGGAGGGGTCGGGGACAGCGGCCAGGTCTGGGAGCGGGAGGCCAGCGGCAGTCGACTGGCAGGAAACCGTCATCGCCTGGTGGGAGCGCGTGCTGGACGGAGGGACTGTGCACATGGCCATGGCCATGGCTGTGCCCGCCTGGCGAGGTGGGGGCGAGGGGAGGCACCTTCCTCCGGGCCGCCTCTGCGGGACCTGAGCACAGCGTGTCCCTCTGTCTGTCCTCGGTTCACGCACAGTGCTGTCTGGTTGTCTGAGACGGATGAAACCCTTGTGGAAGGTGAGGAAGGCGCACAGATAATGACCTCGTCTCCCCAGCCTCACCATCCTACTTCCACTCTGGTTATTCAGAAGTATATTAATTTCAGCTGTAGAACTTTGGGTTGATGTTTGTGTGGGCAGATAAGCATGCACTCTAAACCTGCATAGAATGGACATTTTAACAAAACGAGTTTGGAACTTGCCTTCTGAAGAGTAGAAGCAGTGAATTTTTTCATAACATTTTGCGTGTTTCTGATCATGTACTGGTATCTATGAAAACTGGAGAAGAGGAGGCTGAGGGGGACCTTATGGCTCTCTACAACTACCTGAGAGGAGGCTGTAGTGAGGTGGGGGCTGGTCTCTGCACTATCCAAGCGATAGGTGGAGAGGCGATGGCCTCAAGTTGCATCAGGGGAGCTTCAGATTGGGTATCAGGAAAAATGTCTTTACTGACAGAGTGGTCAGGCCTTGGACCAGGCTGCCCAGGGCAAGGGTGGAGTCCCCATCCCTGGGGGAGTTCAAAAACCGTGTGGATGTGACACTTGGGGATGTGGTTTATCAGGCGTGGTGGGGTTGGGTGGACGGTTGGACTGGATGGTCTTAGAGGTTTTTTCCAACCTTGATGACTCTCTGTAAAACTGCTCATTTTAAATGTCTCCAGACTTGGTTAACCCATCAGGGGTTTGCTTTGCTTCTGTGGCTTCGTTCTGTAGTGACTTTCTGTTTGGTTCTTTTCAAGTGCCCCATGTTTATACTTCTTCCTTCATTAGTGTCTTTGTTTAGCCGAGGGAAATGGCCAGATCTACCTGCGTGTCTCTTGGGCGCTGTGTTGAAAAAGCAGAACTTGAAATTTTGAATAAATAAGTAAGTCTTAATTTTTCACATTACGGTGGCTTGCAATGGAGCTGTGATTATTTGGTTAATTGTAGTTTTTGTTCAGTTTGCGCACTGAGTTTTACTCAAAATCTTGCAAATGACAATGTCAGCAGATTCACTATTTAATGAGTGTTTTTTGTAAATGACATTCCTTTGGTGAAGGTTTTTGTACATTTTACCAAAAACTGTGGGATTCAGGAAGTGTGTGTGAAACTGGATGCCTTTCTGGGAGGGTGCTGTTGTCTCTCAGACAGCAGTTGCAGCGCTGCTAAGTGAGTGTGAGCCGGAGGGATGCATACCCAGACATTCTCTCCCAAGACCAGTATACACGGATGCGGTGTAAATATTCTGACATTCGACTTTGAATTAAAATCACGAAGAGCTTTCATTTTCTTTTGTGTTTATGTAATGAGCAAGGGTTTTATTACGCTTTATTTTCAAGTTTAAAAAGTGGTCATAAATATTATTTCATAATTCCTCCCTTACAGAAATGTTATTTCAGTAGTTTCACTTAAAAGTACTTTTTTTTGTATTAAATATTTTCTCAAGGTTGTTATTTTAAGTATGTTGCATGAATGCTCTATAAAGAACTGATAGTAGTGTCTAGTGCATTAAATGAGCTGAACAATTTGAGGGTTTCAGTTCATTAAGTGTAGAAGGCGAGTGAAGAAGTCCAGACGCCGACGGAAGGAGCGACGCAGTGCAGGAGCAGCGAGCTCTCTGCGACAGCCACCGGGGACTCCTGGGGGCTGCAGGGTCCCTTCCCCGGCCCCGTTCCAGCAGCGCTGCTGAGGGCAGCCGCCCGCTGGGCTCTGCTCCGTGTCACGGGATTGCCGTCCCCGAGAGGCACCGGGGTTCCGCTCCGAGGGTCCGCCATGGCTGTGCCGTGGGAAGGGCGTCCCTGGTCGGTACCCGTGGGAGCCGGGTGATGGCTTGGTCGGGGGAGCTGCGGTGTGGAATTGGTCACGAAGGCGGCTTGGAGCGGTGGCCACACTTCGAGTCACCCGGTGGTGACTTGGGTGTGTCAAGGGCCGTAGAATTGTAGCAGGGGCTGGAGGCAACTGCTGCGATAGATCCCGAGGATTACGGACTGCGAGCAAGGGATCAGCCATGAATACGTGGCAAGTTTGTGTGCGGAGAGCATGAGAGGCAGTAGCTCTCGGTTCTTTTAAGAGCTCAGCTTCATTAGCTGATACCTGTTGTCAGTTCTGGACTCGGTGACAGATTTGGGGAGATTTCTGTATTCTGTAGAACAACATTTTGCTTTACATTTGAAGTAGAAGTTAGTGTTATTTAATTCTCATCAGTGTCTTGCCTGTTACTTTCCGCTTGTCGTGGACTGTGATCTGGGGTACTCGTTTACAAGTAAATTTGCTTTGTAACTGTTGCAACTGAGTAAATATGGAAAGAGCAGAACTGTTTTGGGAGGAGGGAGTAAGAGGATTAAAACCCAAGATGTATAAATACATGCTTGTGTAGTCACCGTAAGATTCAATTATTACAGTTTTAGAGGAAACTTGCTGTTTTAATAGCTTGGTGAAAAACTGAGAGAGTAGAGGTAAAATGTAAAGCTGGACTGTTATAATTAAAGGCGTCAAAATGCAGCAGCCTCGGCAGTGCTGCTGTGTGGAACGCCGTAGCAGTGCTGGGCCCTGCTGCCTGCGGGACTGCGCTG